CTGCCCTGCCCTGCTCTGCTCTGCCTCCCCGAGGGGCTGGGGCTCCGGCAGGCTCAGGCCCGGCGGCTCGGGCTGCCCTGGGGCTCCGCAGCACTGCCCCTCCCGGCCGTCGCGGGCCGGCCACACGCTCACGGCCAGGTCCCGTCCGACCCTGTCGGAACCGGCGAGGGCTGCTTCAGGCGGCCTGCGCGGCACCAGCACCTGCCAGGGCTGCCGGAGTTCAGGCCACACTGTGCGCCGCCGCGCCGCCGCGTGCGAGGGAAGGGGCCCGCGGAGAGCAGAGCCGACAGCGCGGGAGCAGGGCGGAGCTGCGGGCGGGGCTCTCCCCGCGGCTGGATGTCCAGCCCTGAGCCTGAGCGGGAGCCGGCCCTGGCCGAGGCAGGCTGCAGCCCCCTGCCGAGGCCCCGTGGGGCTCAGCCGCCCGCTGCGAGGAGGGTGCCAGAGCCTAAGTGCGCCCCGTGGCCTCACCCACCGCACGACCTCGCTCGGCCAGCGCTCCGGGGCCGACCCCAGCGTGGCCCCGAGAGACCCCGAAGGCGCAGTCTCCCCGCCATCGCAGCCCGAGGGCGCCCCACCAGCACCCAGAGCGCCGTCAGAACAGCCCGGGGTAGAAGAGCGGGGGAGGCCACGCGGGCTGGCGCCGGCACCCACCCTCGGCCCTTCCTCCCGGCGGCGCAGGCGGGCGCGGGCAGCCCGCAGCTCCGGGTGACAGCGGCCGTCTCTGCTGCCCCCCAGCGGTAGAGCCAGGGAGCCCCGCGTCCCTGAGACCCCTGCTGCCTAGTGACCTGAAAGGTGCCTCGGTGGGGTGAGACGGGGTGGCGCGGCGCCCTTACGTGATGACAGGAGGCTGCGTCTGGCCCTCCGTCCGCCCAGAGCAGGGACCCGAGGACATGGAGACGGCGTGCGTGCGTGGAGCCGTGACCCTCAGGCGGGAAGCAGGGAGCCCTGAAGCCTGGCAAGTGCCCTGCTCCCTTGCTGCAGTTCCAGGAAGCTCCAGCAAGCTGCGCGGACCTCAGTCCCCGGAGCTGGTGTCACAGCCCCTCAAGGCATGGGGCCCAGCCGCCATGCAGACCCCTTTTGGCAGTGAGGGCAGCACCCCAGCTGGATGCCCCGGGGCTAGGTCCATCCATCACTAGCTCCAAGGGCAAGCTGCACACCCCATGTGCACCGCACACCCTTGTCCAGCTCCATCGCAGCCCTGCCTCTGGCATGAGACCCACAGGTGGAGGTAACACCCTGCCCGGCAGCAGCGCAGGGGATGGACTTCCGTAGCACCTGAGCACATGTTCTGAGCTGACAGTCCCCTCTCTCAGCCTCCAGGTGGCACTCTAGAGGGTAGGGTGACCCCCAAGTGCAGAGGAGCCCAGGCTACCAGCGCCCTGCATGTGGCCAGGGTCACCACAGGCTCAGCTGGCCAGGCCATTGCGTTCTCGGCTCAGCCACTGCATCTGGCAGGCCGAGCCGATCGCACCTGGGGTGGGGCGATGGTGACTCACAGTGTGGCCCTGAATCCGGCCCAAGGACCGTCCTTCCTCTTCCCCAAGGCAGAGCCAGCCAGGGAGCCCCCAGGGGCGACACTGTGCTAGTGCAGAGGTCAGAGGCACTGTGCCTTTCAGTGCACTCAGTTACTCTCACGAAAGCACTTCTTTCCTTGCATGCGTGTGCGGCAAGCTCTCTCCCACTGGGCCTCAAGCCAACCCCAAATAAACACTTTTAAAGGAAAGAGAAAACCCGCAGGGAGTGGGTAGTGCTCTGTTCCCTCCGCATAGCTTTGCAGTGTGAGAGGTAGACAGCTTCGAGAGCGGCCAGTTACAGGAAAAGGTTTTCTTGGTGGTGCTGGTCTGGGTTTGAGGATTTTTTTTATTTATTTATTTTTTGTCTTTGTTTCTTTGGTTTTGATGGTTTGGTTTTTTGTTTTGTTTTGTTTTGTTTTTTGTTGTTTTTTGTTGTTGTTTTTTTGCAGCTTAGTGGATTTCAGGCCTGGCCTCAGAGAATACTTTTCTTTCTCTCTGTGCCCAGCCCTTGTTGCTTCCAGAGGGGAAGTAAGAGCAGTTGAGAGCAGGATGGGGTCGCACTGGAGACCAGGGGGCCTTCAGCTGCAGCCAGGGCCAGGTGTGCAGCTGGCAGCCATTCTGCGCCGTGGGGACAGGGCCACCCACATCTGTGGGCCAGGGCTGCCCAGGCCAGGTCATCCTGTCCATTTCCTGCTTAAACAGAAGCCAGCCTGTCCTCTCCGCCCAAGGCGCATCAGCTACGCGTTCCTGGGCACAGCAGAGGCATGTCTAGTGAGGCGATGGAAAATAGAGGCACAAGGCAAAGGGATGTGCCGTGTACACTGCTGCCCGCAGGTGAATCCTCGCGGTATTTGTTTATTTCTGAGGTGCGGGGTGGAAGCCAGGGCCATCCACATTCTAAGTGCTCCGCCACTGGCTGTGCACTGAGCCCTGTGTCTGTTGTTCTCTCAGTCTTCCTTATATGTGAGCTTGTTTTTACACTTATTGGCATAAAGACAGAATTGCAGGGAACATGTTCTCTTGTCAAATTTTTCTTCTATTTACTTAATATGTCATGAAAATCTTTCTACAAAGCCAGGCAAGGTGGTGCATGTGTGTAATCCCAGCACTCTGGGAGGCTGAGGCAGGAGGACTGCAAGTTCAAACTCAATCTGGGCAACTTAGTGAATTCATAAGACCCTGTGTCAGAAATTAAAAATAAAAACAGGACTGGCTGTGGTGGCACACACCTGTAATCCCAACACTTGGGAGGCTGAAAAACAGGAAGAGCACTAGGAGTCCGATCTATGTACTGAGACCCTGTACTAAATACATGAAAATAAATAAATAAATATAAAAATTAAAAACAGGGCTGGGCATGTAGCTCAGTGCAGAGGCCCCGTGTTCACCCCAATACAAAAAAAGAAAAGCATTCTTATGCAATGTAATGGCTACATGCATAGCAGTTACTCATACATGGAATTTATTTATTTGACCAGTCTCCAACTCGTATTATTTATATTGACAATTTCTCACCCTTCTGTCCGACTGTCTGGGCAGCACTGCTGATCTGCATTCTGATCAAGAGTGTGTGAGTGTGTCACGCCTAAGTCCTGGCCAGCCATGGCTGTTATCATATTTTTAGTTATTTCAACATGATAAGTTTAAAAATACACGAGCGTATGTATCTTGTTTTAAGTATATTTGCACTAAAAGCGGTCTTGGCACTAGTTCTGAGTTTTGTGGAGTCCTGCCACCTGGTGGCAGCATGTGGAATTGCAGGTATAGTATTTAAAGAAGAAATCCCTCCTTCCAGAGCTCGGATCCCAGTAGGTCTGAGGATAGCAGACACCAGGGAATTAGTAGCACAGGCGGAATTCTGAGCTCAGAACATCAGGAATAAACAGGAGGACCTGAAGAGGAGCGCTGAGTGGGTCACTCCTGCATTTGGGGGCGGTACCGGCATTTCTGTTGCTAGTAATTTTGTGGCCCTTCTTGAATAGGAGGCATGGCTGGCCCCTGGTGCCCTGGGCAGCACACGGGTGGCACAGAGATGGGTCAGACCCAGCCAGGGGTGGCCGGCCGCGTGGGCAGTTTGCTGTGGGTAGCGAGGAGGCACTGCCAGGGGCGCAGTGTCATTTACGGGGAGTGTCTCGTGTATCCTGGCCCCTTTATGCTTTTCCAAACATGGCTTCCATCTATGGGGAAGACTCGCTGGTCCCACCGGCC